AGACACCACCTACAAAAGCAGGAAGATGAGGCCAAGAAGTGGAGACTTTCAACTGTTCAAGGGCTTGGCTTGGATTTATTTAATGATTGCTTCCTTTTTACTTAATGATGGTTAAGAAGATAAATGCAACTTGTATAATCTACTTTTTCTCATTTTATTAGACAGTTTCTGTAGATGTATGTATACATGTCCTGTATCCGAGAAATTTAGGACACGTTACGTCTCTTAGAGGTTGAGTCATGAGTCAATGAGGTCAAAATTTCGATAAGCTGACATTCAATATCTGGGATTGATCCTAAAAAAACCCAGGATTAATCCTAACTAGTTGGAGTAGATCCCGAGTCCTAACTTGACCTGTTTGAATCATGAGTTGACTTGATTAGATCGTAACTTATGGAATGTTATAGGAAAGTTGTAGAAAATGCCAGAAGTTCTTTGTTATGCAAGTTTTTTTGTATTTGACATTTGAGCCGTTTTCAATAAAAGTTGTGCGAAGCTTTTGTAGTGCCATTTGAAATTGCACCGTGTATGAGCTCTTTTCCGTTTAATTCCTCTCTCTCTCTCTCTCTCTCTCTCTCTCTCTCTCTCTCTATATATATATATATATATATATATATGGAATACTCGATCTCGTGATAGGGAGGAGAGAGTAGTGACTAGTGAGCCTCTTCGAAACAACCGGAAGTCACCTGGGCTCGAACTTGGTAAAGTTTAAAAAAGAGAATTGCTATGATATGAAGCAGGCTGAAGGGGTACGGCAACGGTCTTGAAATATTAGCTGTTCATACAGAGGGACTCCACTTACCATTCATTAGAGGAACAAAACCGAGGCATCGAGATGTTTAGCTTGAGAAGAATATATCTAAATTCCCAAATCCCTTCGTTGCATGAAATATTTCTGTTTCTTGGATTGTTTATGTGAATGTATGTTTGATAGTGTGTGCGGATTATGGTGGCGGCGACCTGGCCAGAAGGGGGAGAGGGAGTGAGGAGAGATCCCTATTCCCTACCATGGGCAAGATTTGCTTCCACGTTTCTGGTACAACCTAGTTGTATGAAGAGGCACAACTTGGTGAAGTGTCCCCAAGAGCTTGGTATAAGTTTCAAGTCCCTCTTTTTAGGGACAGGGTCAAAAAATTGTGTCAGGCTGAATACAAATATTTTAATAAATTATTATTATTTTTTTACTATCGATAGAAATAGAACAATAATTTATTTAATTACATCCTATTTAATACTTAAAAGTTCATAAAATCCACCATACTGAAATTTGGTAAGTCTAATATATACAAACAATAACATTTTTTTTTACAAAATATTAACTAATTAAAATCATTTAGAATTGACTTCGGTAAATTTTTGTACTTTTAAAACATTACATAACAACTTTATTATTCTTTAGATACATAATAATGTTATCACTTTAGTATTTATAAATCATTTGATCGATATGCAGTTTAATGTGCACTCTATAATTTTTACCATAATTAACAAAAATAAATATCAAAATCACAAATAAGTTAACGAATATGTATATCATATTTTTTTTAGTCTGAGAAAATATAAAATAATTCTAGAATATTCAAATTTTAGCAATACAGGTACATAAACAGTCCAAAATGTGTCAAAAATTCATATTTATTTAATATAAATATATACTAATTAATGTGCTAAAAAAAAATAGAGAGGACATAATTAAAATTATTCACTGATATAAGTGTACATTAATATTTTTATTTTTGATTTTGAGTGGGCACAAATAATATATTATACAAATATATAATATATATACATAAGTAATAATAAAAAAAAAAAAAATATTAAGCGGGGCACTTGCCCACCCTGAACAGGGCTTCCTCCGCCCTTGCCTCCTTTAGAAATCCACCACCTAACCCCCCCATCCCCTCAAAAAAAAAAAAACACACACACGCACACACGCACACAGTTTTCTACACATTTCGCAAAATAAGCTTGCACCAACTTTACCATTTGCATGGAAAAAAGAATCAGCTTTGCCAGGTACTAAAAAGCCAAATACGAAAATAGCCATGTAATCTTGTTGCTCAGATATGAAGAACAGGAAATAATAATTGAGTGCGACTACAAATGCACGTCAAAGTAATACCCCAAAGAATCGGGTAAAATCACACATACGTATTTCATGGAGCATGACGTCACAAGTAAAACTAGAAAAATGACTATATATATCCTCAAACACGAAGGAATTTGATACGACAGAACAGCACAAGCTGATCCTACGATGGCAGAGCCGAAAACCAATAAAGTGTAATTTGGATTATGTCCAAGAAATCCGAAAAAAAAAGAAGCAAAAATTGCACCTAAAAACACCAAATAGATCTTACAAAATAAAACCTCACAGATGCTACATACCAATACACACTTGCAGCAACGAAGAGGTATAAAGGAAACTAAGGTACAGACCCTATATCCTTGAAGTATCGATGCTGAAGAGCACTCCTGGCTGTTATTCTCCTGCTGGGATCCAAGCAAAGCATTTTCTGGAAGAGAACATAATCTATTAAATTAAGTTAGGAATAGGAACACCATCATTGAAACATGTCCTTCAATATTTATATGCTATAAAAAGTCCTAAATAACATAAAAAGTGTGATGTCAGTTCATTTATGATTGTCTAAAGAGTCAATTGAAACTTTCCTTAGGGTAATTGAAGGACTAATATTTTTCCTTTTACACCAATCCACTTATTAGACACAAGCATATCTGAGCCCGGGATCACCAAACCACCACCTATCCCACACAAAATAAGCTAATTTGTTTATGTAGAAGTAATGCTGTGGTAGGCAGGGTCAAAATCCTGAGCCATTTAGTCTTCAGGCTGATGGTGAAGTCCAAGGAGGATCTTTTCAGCTCAGAAATAAAGGGGGGTTAAATTACTTAAGAAATTCAAAATAGCCTACTAGAATATGAGCATAAAATTCATGACAACTATTCTAGCACATGTGGCTTTGACATCAGTAAAGGAGTCTCCAAAGAAGAACATGGTGAAGTTAGCGAATCTAAACTTACACCAAAGAGATCAACACCAGCTGAATCGAGACTTGGGACCAAAGTTGCCAGGTCCTGCAAAGTAGAGGATGGAGTTGATCAATCTGGAAGAAATCCAAAGAAAATATCACCAAANTATATATATATATATATATATATATGGAATACTCGATCTCGTGATAGGGAGGAGAGAGTAGTGACTAGTGAGCCTCTTCGAAACAACCGGAAGTCACCTGGGCTCGAACTTGGTAAAGTTTAAAAAAGAGATTTGCTATGATATGAAGCAGGCTGAAGGGGTACGGCAACGGTCTTGAAATATTAGCTGTTCATACAGAGGGACTCCACTTACCATTCATTAGAGGAACAAAACCGAGGCATCGAGATGTTTAGCTTGAGAAGAATATATCTAAATTCCCAAATCCCTTCGTTGCATGAAATATTTCTGTTTCTTGGATTGTTTATGTGAATGTATGTTTGATAGTGTGTGCGGATTATGGTGGCGGCGACCTGGCCAGAAGGGGGAGAGGGAGTGAGGAGAGATCCCTATTCCCTACCATGGGCAAGATTTGCTTCCACGTTTCTGGTACAACCTAGTTGTATGAAGAGGCACAACTTGGTGAAGTGTCCCCAAGAGCTTGGTATAAGTTTCAAGTCCCTCTTTTTAGGGACAGGGTCAAAAAATTGTGTCAGGCTGAATACAAATATTTTAATAAATTATTATTATTTTTTTACTATCGATAGAAATAGAACAATAATTTATTTAATTACATCCTATTTAATACTTAAAAGTTCATAAAATCCACCATACTGAAATTTGGTAAGTCTAATATATACGAACAATAACATTTTTTTTTACAAAATATTAACTAATTAAAATCATTTAGAATTGACTTCGGTAAATTTTTGTACTTTTAAAACATTACATAACAACTTTATTATTCTTTAGATACATAATAATGTTATCACTTTAGTATTTATAAATCATTTGATCGATATGCAGTTTAATGTGCACTCTATAATTTTTACCATAATTAACAAAAATAAATATCAAAATCACAAATAAGTTAACGAATATGTATATCATATTTTTTTTAGTCTGAGAAAATATAAAATAATTCTAGAATATTCAAATTTTAGCAATACAGGTACATAAACAGTCCAAAATGTGTCAAAAATTCATATTTATTTAATATAAATATATACTAATTAATGTGCTAAAAAAAAATAGAGAGGACATAATTAAAATTATTCACTGATATAAGTGTACATTAATATTTTTATTTTTGATTTTGAGTGGGCACAAATAATATATTATACAAATATATAATATATATACATAAGTAATAATAAAAAAAAAAAAAATATTAAGCGGGGCACTTGCCCACCCTGAACAGGGCTTCCTCCGCCCTTGCCTCCTTTAGAAATCCACCACCTAACCCCCCCATCCCCTCAAAAAAAAAAAAACACACACACGCACACACGCACACAGTTTTCTACACATTTCGCAAAATAAGCTTGCACCAACTTTACCATTTGCATGGAAAAAAGAATCAGCTTTGCCAGGTACTAAAAAGCCAAATACGAAAATAGCCATGTAATCTTGTTGCTCAGATATGAAGAACAGGAAATAATAATTGAGTGCGACTACAAATGCACGTCAAAGTAATACCCCAAAGAATCGGGTAAAATCACACATACGTATTTCATGGAGCATGACGTCACAAGTAAAACTAGAAAAATGACTATATATATCCTCAAACACGAAGGAATTTGATACGACAGAACAGCACAAGCTGATCCTACGATGGCAGAGCCGAAAACCAATAAAGTGTAATTTGGATTATGTCCAAGAAATCCGAAAAAAAAAGAAGCAAAAATTGCACCTAAAAACACCAAATAGATCTTACAAAATAAAACCTCACAGATGCTACATACCAATACACACTTGCAGCAACGAAGAGGTATAAAGGAAACTAAGGTACAGACCCTATATCCTTGAAGTATCGATGCTGAAGAGCACTCCTGGCTGTTATTCTCCTGCTGGGATCCAAGCAAAGCATTTTCTGGAAGAGAACATAATCTATTAAATTAAGTTAGGAATAGGAACACCATCATTGAAACATGTCCTTCAATATTTATATGCTATAAAAAGTCCTAAATAACATAAAAAGTGTGATGTCAGTTCATTTATGATTGTCTAAAGAGTCAATTGAAACTTTCCTTAGGGTAATTGAAGGACTAATATTTTTCCCTTTACACCAATCCACTTATTAGACACAAGCATATCTGAGCCCGGGATCACCAAACCACCACCTATCCCACACAAAATAAGCTAATTTGTTTATGTAGAAGTAATGCTGTGGTAGGCAGGGTCAAAATCCTGAGCCATTTAGTCTTCAGGCTGATGGTGAAGTCCAAGGAGGATCTTTTCAGCTCAGAAATAAAGGGGGGTTAAATTACTTAAGAAATTCAAAATAGCCTACTAGAATATGAGCATAAAATTCATGACAACTATTCTAGCACATGGGGCTTTGACATCAGTAAAGGAGTCTCCAAAGAAGAACATGGTGAAGTTAGCGAATCTAAACTTACACCAAAGAGATCAACACCAGCTGAATCGAGACTTGGGACCAAAGTTGCCAGGTCCTGCAAAGTAGAGGATGGAGTTGATCAATCTGGAAGAAATCCAAAGAAAATATCACCAAATGTGAAACCCAATCACCTTAGGAGGCCACTTCGGAAATGCAGATTTGAAATCAGGCAGAGAAGTCACTCCTGGCCATGTATCCTCATTTGGAGTACCCATGCTTCTTCATTTTGAAAAGAAAAACCATATCTCAATACAAAGAATACATACCAAGCACATAAGAAAACTAGTGGCTGCATGGAAGTAAACACAAGAGTACCATAAGCTCAAGGCACAACACCAAGAGGATAAAAGAGTTCAATTATTTTCCCTGCATTTTACATCCACCTCCCATTGAAGTACCCTAAGGTGTCAACTATGCCACTCAAGAAACAGTATATATGGATCACGGTAAAGTTCATAAAGAGCATGCACTGCCAATTCCCAAATGTGGCTTCCACAGAAGAAATAATAATTTAATCGATTAAAATATGTAACACCTGAAAATCTTGAATAATTCATCTATCTCGGAATCTCCAGGAAACAATGGTCGTTGGTTCACCATCTCAGCAAATATACAACCAACTGACCACACATCAACAGGTGTAGAGTAGTGGCGGGATCCAAGGAGTATTTCTGGTGCTCTGTACCATAGTGTCACCACCTTGGAAAGAAACACCAACGTTTAGAGCCAAATAAAGCCATTGGTGATATCAGTTGGAAAGATTCTTCAATATAATTATTCATTGAATATGTGGATAAAAAGGAAACATCATAGTACACGCACTCCATTGGTTATTTGTTCTAATGAATCAAGAACTAAGAATTCTAAATATTTACAAATCATCTTCAGATTTAAAAAACCAACTCAGAGCTTGGTGTGCTAATAATATGCATTTAGGCCATGAAAAAAAAAGGATGATGGCTTTTTTAATTTTAAAGGCAAAAACGAAAAAATAAATAAAAATGCCATACACGGCTTTCCACTTGCTCGATTTGGTTNAATAATATGCATTTAGGCCATGAAAAAAAAAGGATGATGGCTTTTTTAATTTTAAAGACAAAAACGAAAAAATAAATAAAAATGCCATACACGGCTTTCCACTTGCTCGATTTGGTANCTTGGTGAAGTGTCCCCAAGAGCTTGGTATAAGTTTCAAGTCCCTCTTTTTAGGGACGGGGTCAAAAAATTGTGTCGGGGTGAATACAAATATTTTAATAAATTATTATTATTTTCNTTGGTAGCCATTTGTGAGATTGAAAAGAAAACAACCTCAGACCTGTCCAAGTTAAAGAATGCCATAAAAAGTTCATTCTTTGCCTAAACTGCCACATCATCCTCAACACTTGTTGGTAACTGTGATGCGTTAAGGAATTTAGAATTGCTAAATTCTTCAGGAATTGAGGACCATTTTTTTATTTAGTGACTCTAGATATATAGAAATATCAGAGTGGGATGAGATTGCCATCACACCAATAAAATTTGGGCAAAAAAGAGAATACAAAGCTAAACCCGTAGTCATAGATGGATACATCCCATGCAGAGGACACCAAACTTTAGAATATTACAGGAAAAACCAAATTCCATGCACATTATTACCTCATGAGTGAATGTCCTAACTGGAATACCAAAGGCTCTGGCCAATCCAAAGTCTGCAAGCTTCAATGCATTGGTACGACGATCTATCAGCAAGTTCTGAGGCTTCAAATCTCGGTGAAGAACTCGATGAGAATGACAATAAGCGATGCCAAGAAGTATTTGATACAGAAACATCTACACAATTAAAGAAGGAAACAAAGAGAAATAGACCTGAATGTAGTTCATGAATACCATACAGTCTTTGTTAATAAGAAGTCAGANACTCTATAATTTTTACCATAATTAACAAAAATAAATATCAAAATCACAAATAAGTTAGCGAATATGTATATCATATTTTTTTTAGTCTTAGAAAATATAAAATAATTCTAGTATATTCAAATTTTAGCAATACAAGTACATAAACAGTCCAAAATGTGTCAAAAATTCATATTTATTTAATATAAATATATACTAATTAATGTGCTAAAAAAATAGAGAGGACATAATTAAAATTATTCACTGATATAAGTATACATTAATATTTTTATTTTTGATTTTGGGTGGGCACAAATAATATATTATACAAATATATAATATATAAACATAAGTAAAAAAAAAAATTATTAAGCGGGGCACTTGCCCACCCTGAACAGGGCTTCCTCCGTCCTTGNTTTGTTAATAAGAAGTCAGATTACAAAAGAACTAACACAATCAGCAAGAGAGAGAATGTGAGAGAAAGAGAGAGAGACAGCCCAGCCCAGCCCCTGGTGGGGGGATGCGAAGTGTGGGGGGAGAGATAAAGCTTTTCTTCCGGTGGGTAGGAGAGATTCAAGGTTGCTAATCTGGTATAGTATAATGACAACCAGGGAACAGGGAATCTCTTCAAATACATGTGAGAGAATTTCCACATTGCCAGTTAAAGACTCCAAGATTTAGAAAGGATATATGTTTATAAGGGTGGAAAGTTTGTAGTCCACCTGATACAAATAAAAAATATTTTTCGAATAAAATAACTGCAACCAATCAAAATCAATGATAATTACTCTGACTATGGTTGTGTTGTGTCATTACCAATAGCTTGTACAAAAATTAGTCTCAGTCCCAGGAGGGATAAATTCAAAACCCAAAACTAATCTTCCTTACAGAATAAGACCTCTTGAAATACAATGTGCCACAACCTCCAATGAGCAGAAAAGGCTCACTCACTTTTATCAGATGTGGATTCTTAGCAAGGTCCGGACACGAATCCATGTGTTTCTTCAAGTCCAAGTCCAGATATTCAAAGACCAGATACAATCGCTTTTCACTGTGCACCACATCCTGTAACCTGGAACTCAAAACATATGAAGAAGGTCAGCTAAGAGAAAGTCAAAACCAAATACAGTCCCTTATGTAACCTGTCTGCCTGTTGTAAATAAACTTACACAATAAAATCAGGGAGAGAAGTTTAGCAAAGTTGTTCAAAATAAAATACAAGATTTGGTTTTTTCATTTATTCTGGTTGGAATAATCAAGGCACTCCTAACTAATACAGCCTATGCATGCGTGCCGGAATGTTCTATGACTTCTATCTATGCATGCCATACACTAATTCAGTCCCCATCTCAAACATTATTTCATATTTTCCCCTTCAAAAACTGGCATATTTGACACTTCATACTTCTTTGGTCACCAAAAGTTATGCCCTGTCTTGAGACTTAAACGACAATAAACTATGACTCTAAGAACAGAATTTCATGTGTCTACTTGCATACCCAACAGCATGGCAGTGTACAANTGACACTTCATACTTCTTTGGTCACCAAAAGTTATGCCCTGTCTTGAGACTTAAACGGCAATAAACTATGACTCTAAGAACAGAATTTCATGTGTCTACTTGCATACCCAACAGCATGGCAGTGTACAGTGGTAAGGGGAAACTTGAGTCTAATATGTTTTCCCTGTTTCTTTTCTTTTTATGTGAAGCTTTAGTAATAAAGGCTCTCAAATGCTATGTAGCAGAGACATAGACAAGATAAACCGCAGAAAGTATTGGCCATTTTACATTTGCAGCAGCTCAGGGGAAGTGTTGTGTTTGATACATACAAATCTAATAATCCTTCCATACCACTTAGATATCAGACAATCGACCAGAGACATGATATAGGGGACTAAATATATTCACCCAATAATGTAACAGCATATGTATACGAACTAAACAGCCAATTTGCTTTCTTTCAAATAGGAAATTATATATGTTATGTAACCAAAATATGGTACGCATAACAGATATCACTTCCTACTTAGAAGACATAACAATTTTCTCACATCCATCCACCTATGATTTCACTTGCGTCTATGTGGACAACCATTTCAGGCATCTTATTTACGATAGAATTGGTGAAACATGAGATAAAATTGCAAAGATATGCAAGATCATTTTCAAAATGTTGGGAAACCATGAGAAGGGCCTGAAAATGTTGGCGCATAAGGTTAATATAATGAGTTGCAAGAGATGATTTGAACCTACCTAAGAGAATGCTATTCCTAATTTCTGGATTCCACTACGTTTGTTAACAACACTAAACAAGAAATTGAAAAGAAGCAGCGAAGTAGGCTGCACATAGTATGATGTGATGCATTGCTCTATGCCACGTTAGGCAGAAAGCATAGGTGGAATGCAACATTGCTAACGCAAAGGAAAAGTGTGGAGGAAATGGATGATTGAATCACATAAAACAATTGCAAGGAAAAACAAGGACACTTTTGGAAACTCAGATTGACTCGTCCAGGAAATAGAAAATGTTGTACAGAAGAATAACACATATAAAACCAAATACAGCAGCAGAAGCATAGAAAAAATTCCAGCTAACTTGAGAGGAAACACAAGCACACCCTCAAGCTTAAGTATCAGAAAAAGGATAAGCACCAATCAGGTAACTTCAGAGGAACAGAAAGATGGATGGAAACATTGTGAGAAAAATAGATTGCGTTTGAGTTGAGAAGGTCCAATGAGCACTTGCCAGGTGGCAACTCAAGTAGTGTAACTAGCACAGTATCTGGCTACGAGATCCGCAGTATTGATATCACTAGTTATCATAATNTGATGTGATGCATTGCTCTATGCCACGTTAGGCAGAAAGCATAGGTGGAATGCAACATTGCTAACGCAAAGGAAAAGTGTGGAGGAAATGGATGATTGAATCACATAAAACAATTGCAAGGAAAAACAAGGACACTTTTGGAAACTCAGATTGACTCGTCCAGGAAATAGAAAATGTTGTACAGAAGAATAACACATATAAAACCAAATACAGCAGCAGAAGCATAGAAAAAATTCCAGCTAACTTGAGAGGAAACACAAGCACACCCTCAAGCTTAAGTATCAGAAAAAGGATAAGCACCAATCAGGTAACTTCAGAGGAACAGAAAGATGGATGGAAACATTGTGAGAAAAATAGATTGCGTTTGAGTTGAGAAGGTCCAATGAGCACTTGCCAGATGGCAACTCAAGTAGTGTAACTAGCACAGTATCTGGCTACGAGATCCGCAGTATTGATATCACTAGTTATCATAACATAAGAAACAAATAAATATTATTTGTCAGCATATTTGTCACTCCTTAAAAATATGTACAAGGGTCCATCACAATGATATACCTGACAATATTTCCATGTTTCATCTCTTTCAAGAGAGAAATTTCTCTAATAGCCGTGCTTGGGACACCCTCATCTTCCTGTTCCAGCCGGATCTTCTTCAAAGCAATAGTTTCATTGGTCACTCGGTCACGAGCCTTATAAACAACACCATATGTTCCTTCGCCTATCTTCTCAACTTTTTCATACTGCAAGTTTCTCAGACATCAGAACAAGGTCCCAGTGAAACTATGATAAGTGAGAAATGCCTAAATGACAAGTTGACAACTCTTTCACCTGGTCCATCTGGTCCAGGTCAAGTAGACTTACTGATGAAAGGAAGTCCTGAAGTTAAGCATCAAGGCATCAGCAAAAAAAATAAAATAAAACGTTTCAGTAGAGTACGCAAGTTTGTTTTTTTTTTTTNATGACAAGTTGACAACTCTTTCACCTGGTCCATCTGGTCCAGGTCAAGTAGACTTACTGATGAAAGGAAGCCCTGAAGTTAAGCATCAAGGCATCAGCAAAAAAAATAAAATAAAACGTTTCAGTAGAGTACGCAAGTTTGTTTTTTTTTTAAAAAAAAGGACATGCATAGGATAGGAAGGCATCATAATGAGTAATTAGCGGAAAATAGAAGTGCACAAACAAGTCCTGAGTAATTTGATATGCATAGAACAACACTGACTAAAAAGAAACAACACTAGACAATCCTCATACTGATTCTCTCTCTCTCTCTCTCTCTCTCTCTCTCTCACACACACACACACACACTAATGCATAACCACTAGCAACGTTCTGCATGCCAAACCAATGATCAACAATTTGTTTGCACATTTTTAAGAAATCTTGAGTCAGTACCAAAGTGATTTCGAATCTGAAACATAAACTCACCAAGCATCCAAAACTTCTNCAACGTTCTGCATGCCAAACCAATGATCAACAATTTGTTTGCACATTTTTAAGAAATTTTGAGTCAGTACCAAAGTCATTTTGAATCTGAAACATAAACTCACCAAGCATCCAAAACTTCTAGTCTTGAAAAAGAAAAGGCCTAAAACTCTCAATATAATTTGATACAAACCACTGCATAACCAAACACGAGTTCAGAAAACACTGCAATTTTGTTAACGAAAAGAAAAACGAAACTCCGTTTAATTACCGCGAAAATGCCACAAAATCAACATACAAAAAAAAAACAAAAGTATGAAGAAAACTAACTAATGCATTTATTAAATCTAGAAAATCTGCTTTTCTTCTTCTATTCTCGTTCTCGTTTTCTCAGGAAACAAACAGAATTTAAATACTGAGCTTAATTTAGTTGAATAAATAATCGAAGAAAATTATGAGAAACAAAAAAATATATATATATGAGAATGTTCTGCAGATGCAAAATGAGAGTATAGAAAATCTAATCGAGAATCGATAGTATAGACATGTAGGTACCTAAGGATCGCAGTAGAGTGAAGTAGGGCTGATCGTCCGTCTCCTTGTGGTTCCGGTAGCGATTTTACAGACAAAGCTCGTCGTCGTCGAGTCTGTAATTTATAGGTAGATAGTGAGAGAGCTTTTTTTTCAGTGGAATTAGTAATGAAATTAGAGGATCTCCAATTGTGGTGGTTGAATGGCCAGGATCAATGTGGTCTCACTTATCAAAGCTTAATAATGATGATTTAATTTTAATTTTGATTTTTTAACCATTATAAATCTGACAATTTATATTTAACTTTTAAATCAAACGCAATTATTTAAATCATACTTACCTTTTAATTATAGCAAATGTTTTTATTCACACTAAATATTGTAATCGAAATAATAAATGAATATTTTGCATTCATTTAATTTAATTACCCCCTATAATAATACAAGATATTACACATTATGGATAAATACAATTTAACCCCCATAAAATCGTATTGAGTTGTGTTTGAATCATTTAATTTGAGTCATGCTAAGCATTAATTAACTCTAATTAATCTCATTTAATTAATCGTGACATGAGTAATACTATTGAGACTTAAAAATCTGACATAATAATGTGATTTCACTAGGACCTTTGGTTTGACTGTGGACTCCATCAAACATTGAAACTTTGTATTAATCTAATAGTCATAGTGAANATTTGAGTCATGCTAAGCATTAATTAACTCTAATTAATCTCATTTAATTAATCGTGACATGAGTAATACTATTGGGACTTAAAAATCTGACATAATAATGTGATTTCACTAGGACCTTTGGTTTGACTGTGGACTCCATCAAACATTGAAATTTGGTATTAATCTAATAGTCATAGTGAAATCACATCATTATGTCAGCAAATTATGTCAAATTTATAGGTCCCAATAACATTACTCATCGTGACATATATCACTAATTCAATCTGATTGTGTATCAAAAAAAATTAAAACTAATAATATCCTTGTATCTTCCGAGGAAAACACACTATTTTTCAAAACTAAAAATTCTCCGACTCTAAATAATAATATATAAATAAGTAAAAGATACTCTTATTTTATAAAAATTTATGTTAATACTTGATTAAACATAACAAAAATTTGATATTTTATTCATGCAATTTTGGTTAAACATACTTATCATATTAATATTTAGGGTTAATTGCACTGGAGGTCCCTAAAGTATGAAATTTGTCTCATTTTAGTCCCCAATGTTTCAATTGCATCATTTTGATCCCTGAATTATTGAATATGTGTCTATATGGTCTCTCAAGGAGACAGTGTCCTGATTGCTAATAAATTTTGATCATNACTTGATTAAACATAACAAAAATTTGATATTTTATTCATGCAATTTTGGTTAAACATACTTATCATATTAATATTTAGGGTTAATTGAACTGGAGGTCCCTAAAGTATGAAATTTGTCTCATTTTAGTCCCCAATGTTTCAATTACATCATTTTGATCCCTGAATTATTGAATATGTGTCTATATGGTCTCTCAAGCAGACAGTGTCCTGATTGCTAATAAATTTTGATCATAAACTTATCACATGATACTTAAATGTGGACAAAAAAATAATTTGGATAACTCTTGACCAAATTTTTACTCAAATTTTAGTTAAATACCTCTCTAAATTACACAATTTTGATCAAGAGTTATCCAAATTTTGGTCAAAAGCTACCCATATTACACATTTTTTTGTCAAGAGCTACCCAAATTTTGTTTAAGAGCTATCAAAATTATTTTTTATCTATATTTAGCTATTATGTGACAAGTTTATGATAAAAAATCGTTAGCAATGTGGACGTTANTGGATAACTCTTGACCAAATTTTTACTCAAATTTTAGTTAAATACCTCTCTAAATTACACAATTTTGATCAANATAAATTTTGATCATAAACTTATCACATGATACTTAAATGTGGACAAAAAAATAATTTGGATAACTCTTGACCAAATTTTTACTCAAATTTTAGTTAAATACCTCTCTAAATTATACAATTTTGATCATGAGTTATCCAAATTTTGGTCAAAAGCTACCCATATTACACATTTTTTTGTCAAGAGCTACCCAAATTTTGTTTAAGAGCTATCAAAATTATTTTTTATCTATATTTAGCTATTAAGTGACAAGTTTATGATAAAAAAATCGTTAGCAATCTGGACGTTGTCTGCTTAAAGACCATATAGAAACATATTCAATACTTCAGGGACTAAAATGATGCAATTGAAACATTAGAGACTAAAATGAGACAAATTTCATACTTTGGGGACCTCTAGTGTAATTAACCCTAATATTTAATTATTTGTGTTTGAAATTAATTTATTTTATTTATTATTTATAAATAATAAATTTAAACCAACTAAATTTTATTTAATTCAATTTAAATTATAAAATCGTATAAAAAATTGTCACCCTAAACACATTGGATTGCTACATGGATTGTTTCACCCTCTTCAGTAACGCCCAGTACTTCTGGGCAATCTTTAAGACCCGGAAAAATAAATTCCAGGCGAGGGAGACGTTCAATGCTCTAAAGCGAAAAGAAACAGTGAGGAACAACCAGGACTGGCAATTTTCTTTACTTCCTCCGACCAGTGCTTCCGAGATTTTCCNCACATTGGATTGCTACATGGATTGTTTCACCCTCTTCAGTAACGCCCAGTACTTCTGAGCAATCTTTAAGACCCGGAAAAATAAATTCCAGGCGAGGGAGACGTTCAATGCTCTAAAGCGAAAAGAAACAGTGAGGGACAACCAGGACTGGCAATTTTCTTTACTTCCTCCGACCAGTGCTCCGAGATTTTCTCTAAATTTTATTGCTCCAATCTGGTACGTTTGATCGATTTATCAGAACTATGAGTATCATGTCTTCTCCCTCTTATTAGGAATCTTGTTTAATTTATCTGTTTTGCAATCTGCTTAATCTTGTTATTTGGGTTGAATTTGCTCGTTGATGTCTATTTCCGCATGTGAACNAACTATGAGTATCATGTCTTCTCCCTCTTATTAGGAATCTTGTTTAATTTATCTGTTTTGCAATCTGCTTAATCTTGTTATTTGGGTTGAATTTGCTCGTTGATGTCTATTTCCGTATGTGAATTAATGGGTATTGTGTAACTGCATTGATGGTTGAATTTTTCACTCTGTTTTTCTCTGGTTTGATGGAGAAAATTTGATCAGTTCCTTACTTGGAATAATTAGTGAATTACAGGTTTAGATTTTTTTTTTATTGTTTTCTCGGTATTGTTTTTTTGTTGTTTTGGGTTTTGTTTGGATGACTTGTCCACCTTTTTTCTTCTCTTATGTACAGCTGCTTCATCAATAAAAGTTTTGTGAAAAAAATAATAATTGTGGTATGATTTCTAGGTCTTCTTGTTTATTAGTGATAAATTGTAAGTTAACTGGTTGATTTGATTTCACTCGCAGTTGATGGTGTTGAATTTTATTGAGCTTGTTTACGATATTCCAACATGACAGGATTGTCTCTAGCTTGGTTGTCGATGGTTGTCATCAATAAGAAAATCAACTGTAGGTTGTGGTACTCGTAATAATTTGCACATACTATTGAGGTTTTCTCCTTTGACTTACGATTTATTTAATTTCGTTGGTTTACGGGAAATAGATGATATATTGGTAAACATGAAAGTGNTGGTTGTCATCAATAAGAAAATCAACTGTAGGTTGTGGTACTCGTAATAATTTGCACATACTATTGAGGTTTTCTCCTTTGACTTACGATTTGAAAATCTTAATTTAATTTCGTTGGTTTACGGGAAATAGATGATATATTGGTAAACATGAAAGTAATTGTTTATGGTCTGGAGAACATAACTATTTGAATGACTCCATTGGGAAATTGTTGGGTCCGCCCACTGTGAATATGTTTATATATAGTAACAAGTGATTTTATGATTAGTCGAGGATACTAATTTGTTATCCCCCCAAAAAAGTTATTTATCTAAAAATGATCTTACCCCGTGGACGTTTTTCATTCTTCACTCAATCTTTAGTAGANATTGTTGGGTCCGCCCACTGTGAATATGTTTATATATAGTAACAAGTGATTTTATGATTAGTCGAGGATACTAATTTGTTATCCCCCCAAAAAAGTTATTTATCTAAAAATGATCTTACCCCGTGGACATTTTTCATTCTTCACTCGATCCTTAGTAGCGTTTCCAATGTAACCTAACCGGTTACTAGTGGAAACATAACGCGCTAAATAGGCCTATAGGTTGGCCTCTCTAATAGGTCAGGCTTACAATATGGTGTGCACTTTGTTGCCTATTGTCATCATCCATCTCTAGTGCATTCTGAATATGCCGTGCTCGTATTATCAGAAAAAGATAGCAATGCAGGTGGTCGTTTGAGGGTTTGGTCTGACTTTCACTGTACTATTCGACTTTGTGGCAGTGTTGCAAAGACATTGTTAGTGCTTACAATTAGTAAAAAGGGTAATAGTGCTGTCTCTCCATCATGTTTGGAGAGTTACAATGTACAGGAGCACACGATCACTAGATGGAGTCCCGAGCAATGTCGTGAGGATCAACCAGTGGTTGAAAGCGGAACCAAGTAAGAGATAGATTTGAATTCTTGTCCATGTTTTGCTATCCACAAGTTGTGTGTATGACACATTGATCTAATAAAAGGTTTCAAATGTTGTTATGTTTGTTTGTTGGAAGAAGTTATGGGCTCCAAAAATGGATTATTGGTTACGTATTACCAGACTGCATGGTATGCAACAATGAACATTTCTGTCTTTACAAGACTTCGGCTTCTTGACTCTGTATCACCGGACAGAGGCCCAATAGTGAGAGATAAGTGAATCTAAAGGTGAGATGATAACCTGGTAATTCCCTCTCAATTAAAGCCATTCGGGTTTGATGATTTTGACACAGGTTGCAGTAGAAACCATAAGGATTCCCTTGAAAACAAGGTAAACTGCAAACGCGTTTAAATAATATATTGTGCAGCAATTTCTGACACAAAATGAAAACACGATTCAAAATCAATACAAAATTAGCAGATTATAGTTGGTTAACACGAACTAATACGTTTAAGTAATATTATAAAAAATTACAAAATTGTCAAGAAGGACGCTTGTCATGTTCAACAGTGGGAGATACTTCGATTTCAGACAAATTTTGTTTTTTTTTGGGAAACAGGAAAATTTTATTACCTGTCTTCAGCGAATAGAGACATGTTTATGTTGTTCAGGATCGTAACTTTGAGTAGAATCAAGGATAAAGTTCAAAGTATAATTTGGTTCTTCAACTCATATACTATTTAAATCAAGACTTGCGTTTTACTGCGAACTCAAAATTAACATCAGAAACTTAAATACAATTTATTCAAACGGTCTTATCTTATCAAACAATCATACTTTTTGACTCCAAAAAACTTCAAACTTATGACCTTCCACTAAAAGTCAGAGACNTCTTATCAAACAATCATACTTTTTGACTCCAAAAAACTTCAAACTTATGACCTTCCACTAAAAGTCAGAGACTCTTACCAACTGAGCTACCCAATTGGTTCCATTTCAGACATTGGATTTCACAAAATGAGATATTTTCTGGAATCTAAGTGACAATAATCTGATTGGAAATGGAGGGTCAGGGAAGGTCTACAGAATTCCCATCAATCAAACTGGCAAACATGTTGCTGTCAAAAGGATATGGAATGACAGAAAACCAGCCCACAGGCTTGAGAAGGAATTTCTAAGGGAGGCTCAAATACTGGGGAGTATTTGCCACACCAACATCGTAAATGTCACACCCCGACCCGGATCACGTAAGGTCCACGTAACATCGGCCGCTAAGATTTTAACTAATTAATTTTGTGTATAATAAATACCAAATACAATATAAGATAAATAATAAAATGATTTATTCTATTGACCTAATGAATACCAAAAAAATAAATTAAATATCACCAATATCATTACTAAATTCATGTAAAACAATAATTAAACCGTAAAATTCACTATTCCAAATATCAGCAATATTATTTTCAAAATATATAAACATTTGTCTCAAAACTATAAAAGACTTTTATTCCTGAAGACCTATATTAAAATAAATCTTTAAGTCCTCTAATCTCTTGTCTATCTGTAGACTTACTCTTCACCATGATCCTCACTTAAAAAATGTTAAATGTTTAGATAAACACAAAGACCCGTGAATAGTAATCACCTCTAATGAGGTGTGAAAATAAATCTTACATTTTATACACAAAAATAAATTTTGTTACATGCATAAGTATAACAAATTGTACTCCAATCCCTCCCACATAATTATGTAAACAAAAAGAGCTCATAATCACAAATAATTTTATAAATAAAAAGACATTTATAACTCAAACACCTACTTATTTTCACAAATAATTTTATAAATAAAAAAATATTTATAACCCAAAACACTCACACACACATTCAATCCCACGTACATTTGTTAAATCATATTTGTTATAACTAGCCTGGTAACTGGTCTCATCTCTTATCATCACTAATCTGATGACTGATCTCGTCTCTTGTTACTACTGGCCTGGTAACTGGCCCCATCTCTTATTATCACTAACTTGATGCCTAGCTCCTATATGCACATCCCTATACTGACAACGCCGGTATACAATCTCGTTACCATTTAGACCTAATAATCCAGTCCCCGTCTCATAAACATAATTTTCACGCACATCAAAATAATAGTTTTAATCCCAACGCACATAAAATTTCTCTTTCAGCACCAAAACAATGATATAAAATCATCCCACAAGTTTTCCAAAATTAACATGTATAACAGTTTACAATTTCAAAACATTTAATTGCAACCCCAAACATCAACACAAATATCATATATATGAAAAATCTAGCACGCATCCACACATTTAATATAGAAAATCCTTCTAAAAGAAGTAGTAACTACTCACCTTTATTCTCAAAATTCAATTCAAAGCACTATTTCTCAACCTCAATGCAATCACCACCTAATCCAAAATGACATATAACAATATATCTATATTCTTAAATTTGTCGTTTCGTGATTCTATATTTAATTTACATACTTCCTATCCATTGATATACACTTAATATATCATTTACATATAACTATATGTTATAATACAATTTAATAGGGTATAGAAGTAATCTGGGCTGTTTAAAAAAAGGTTTATAAAGTTTTGGGGTCAAATCATAATTTTTAAAATTTGTGGGGTCAAAATGTAATTTCCTTGAAAAAAATTTTCTGTTCTCAGGTGGCCATAAATTTTCTAGAATTCTGTTCTTGCAACTTACCAAGTAAAAAGGTACTTAAAATTCAATTTAGAAGAATAAAAGAGTCAAAATAAAATTAAATATAGAAGAATAAGTTACCTCAAATCAAACTTATTCACTTTTATTTTTATTATTATTATGATTGTTATTTCATTTTTTTTTTCGGGTATTACTGTAAAGCTTCTGTGCTGCATTTCAAGCAAGACCACTAAGCTTCTTGTGTATGAGTACATGGAAAATCACAGCATTCATAGATGCCTGCTGGGATGAAGAGAGGTGCATCATCAGGTGAGAGTTTGGTCCAACATGTCTTGGATTGACCAACGAGGTTGCAGATTGCCATTGGAGTTGCACAAGGTATCTGCTATATGCACCATGACTGCTCTCCACCCATCGTCCATCGAGACATAAAGTCCAGCAATATCCTTTTGGACTCTGAACTCCGTCCAAAAATAGCGGACTTTGGACTAGCCTAGTTGTTGGCTGAGAATGGAGATCCTGAGACAGCATCTGCTGTTGCTGGGACTTTTGGGTACATCGGCCCAGGTACGTGTTTTATTTCTTCCCTCTTATATCAGAAGTGAAAAACTCATAATAAAGCAAGTTTCCAAACCTTGGTTACAGAGTATGCCCGCACAAGCAAGGTGAATGTAAAAAGTAACATCTACAGCTTAGGGGTTGTACTGCTGGAATTAGCAACTGGAAGAGAGCCAGTCAATCGAGCTGAGCATATAAACCTTGCAGAATGGGCACAACGGCACTGCAGAGAGGAAAATTCCATTATTGATGCCCTTGATGAGGAGATCAAGGAACCATGTTACTTGGAAGAAATGACTGTTTTGTTCAAAATTTGGCTAATGTGTACTTCAGTATCACCTTCCACCAGGCCTTCAATGAAGGACGTTTCACAGATTCTTCAAAACTATGTTCATAATCGTTCTTGCCGGATTGACACGGTGGAAGATCTTAATGTTGACACACTTGATGCCAGTTTCCAGTGATTGAGCAGGTCAAGCTAGGTTTTTCATGTTCAACAAACTGTACAGTTGGCAAATTTGCCATTGCTATTACTTCATCATAAACAATAATGACTACTGTATGTGCAGGTCTCTTTTGCCCAATGTGTGCCTTAATGCGAAATATTTAGACCATGTTTGATATAGCATACTTTTGTTTTTTCCTACATACTTGTCTTCAGGTTTTCCATGTAGTTATGTGTATTCTTGTGTGTGGATTCCTTCGCATTTTCTTTCTGCTTTGTATTTCTTCGAATATTTTCAGGTTTCCACGTAGTTACGTGTATTGTGTGTGAGATTTCTTTGCATTTTTTTTTTTTTTTTTCTGTTGTGTACTTCTTTGACTTGCTCTTAGTTTTTTACCAGTTGCATAGTGGATTTGGTGCGTTACTGTGGTTTCTTCCAATCTTTGGGTTTTCCACGTAACTATGTGCATTTTTGTGTGAGATTTCTTTGCATTTTTTCTTTGTTGTGCAGTGATCATGTACCGGATTCAGAGTTAAGGGAGTTGACTCCCAACAAGGAATAGCATAAAAAGTGGAGCTGAAGTCATTTCAAATGACCAAACAAAGGCCTAATTTTTGGTCATTTGAAATGACTTTGGGGTACAACTAAGGCGAATTGAGAGGAACCTAGTCTAACTCTCAATATATAATTTTTCATTCTAACTGTACCCATAACTCAACTTCATCCCGTGTACTGTTCAAGTTAAATTCAGACAAATTCGAATTGAATTTGTGTTCCTTAATTTATGTTGATTTCGGATTATAATTCGGGTTAAGTTCATTTAAACCCGAAATCAGTCCGTTATTTTAAACCTGATACATATTAATAACAACCAATAACTTCAATTAAATGTTTAACATAAAAGACGTAGCCAAATTACACTTTTCTTAATAAAACCATCGTGCATTGTCTAACATAAACAAAACAAAACACAACACAACACAAGAAAGTTAAAACAAAACACTACAGCCACTGCCCAATGACACAGGCACTGCCACTGTCCATTACCACCGCACCACAGATTTTTTACAATTGACAAAAAATCTAAAAATTTTACGCATGAAAAAATCTGAAATTGAAAATGAAATTTTACAAAATCTGAAACTTTGACATTTAGGTGTGTTCGGTTTCTGTTTTTATGTTTTTTTTTATTAAAAAATACAACTAAGTTTTATTTTTTTTTTGAGATAAAAATTAAAAATATAAAATATATTTGATAATCATTTATATTTAAAAAGTTATAAAAATAAAAATAAAAATAAAAAATATGTTTAATATTATCCCAAAAATTCGCCAGGCGAACCCCACCACTCACCACGCAAAACCACCGCCGAAACCAACCCCACTACCGAAACCCAACCACACTGACCACCCAACCTCACTACCGAAACCCAACCCACAACCATCGAAATCCACCCCCACCACCACCGAAACTAAAACCACCGAAACCCACCAGCGTGTCTCCGTGTACCTGTATACCTTCAAAACCCATCAAACTCGCTTCTGTAAGGTGTTGGAAAGACTTCCAGAAAGCAAATTCTCACTCAAATCTTATCTTCATATCGCATTCATTGTACGCAAATTTTTTTCTTCCAAATCCAACACCCTTAATTTGCAATCCTCTACTTAAAAGCAAGGGTATAATTTTATCACATAACACCGAAATTGCATAACCTTCAGGCATAATTTTATCCCAATCTGCACCATATTTACAGTGTAGAACTAGAGTTCTTTCAGGTATTACTTCAAACACCTTGAAAGCCAAAAAGATACATATCTACAAAAGTGTTTTCTCTACCCAAAATCCAAAGAACCATGATACCAAGTGTGACAAATTAAAAAAACCCAATAACAATATGACCTGGGTATTCTCAAAAGAAATTCAAAAAGGGGAAGAATGAGGGAGACCCACCTTTTTGAGGCCTTTATCAATTGCAGGACCGGTAGACGATGTTGTCGTGCTCGAAACCAGAGATCTGGAGTGAAATGAAGATGGAGTGACCTTGGAGATGGAGTAATAGCTTCGCAGCGATTGGCTTCGGCTTCGGCTTCGGCTTCGAGAGAGAAAGAGAGACGACTGGGCATCGAGAGACAGAGAGAGATCACAGACAGAGAGAGGGTGAAACCCGAAAGGAGATGGCCTTTTATACCCCCATCAAAAAAATATATTTTTTGCCGCAATAGAGGATCGAAGTCAAGACCTCATCAAGCTTCGCGCGCGTGTTTTTTTTTTTTTGGATGTTTTCGAAAACATCCTTTTGGATTGAATTAAAACTTTCAGATTTAATTTAACACTTTCAAATTTTCAGATATTTTTCGGATTGTTTTCAGATTTTTTTAAGTATATTAAATTAAAACTTTCAGATTTCAAAATCTGAAATTGAAAAAGGTCAGAGAGGCGCATATCAAAATTAAATTATACATAGCAGTGATGGTTTTCACTGAGAGAGGCACAGATATGAGAGATTGATGAAGGTCTTCGCTAAGAAAGGCACAAATCTGAGAGATCGATGAAGGTCTTCGCTGAGAGAAGCACAAATTGATGAAGGTCGTCTGAGTGAGAGAGGTGCAGATCGATGAAGGTCTGAGTGAGAGAGGAAATGGAAGAGGCTGAGAGACGGAGTGAGAAGGGGAGGCTAACAGCNCTTGAAAGCCAAAAAGATACATATCTACAAAAGTGTTTTCTCTACCCAAAATCCAAAGAACCATGATACCAAGTGTGACAAATTAAAAAAACCCAATAACAATATGACCTGGGTATTCTCAAAAGAAATTCAAAAAGGGGAAGAATGAGGGAGACCCACCTTTTTGAGGCCTTTATCAATTGCAGGACCGGTAGATGATGTTGTCGTGCTCGAAACCAGAGATCTGGAGTGAAATGAAGATGGAGTGACCTTGGAGATGGAGTAATAGCTTCGCAGCGATTGGCTTCGGCTTCGGCTTCGGCTTCGAGAGAGAAAGAGAGACGACTGGGCATCGAGAGACAGAGAGAGATCACAGACAGAGAGAGGGTGAAACCCGAAAGGAGATGGCCTTTTATACCCCCATCAAAAAAATATATTTTTTGCCGCAATAGAGGATCGAAGTCAAGACCTCATCAAGCTTCGCGCGCGTGTTTTTTTTTTTTTGGATGTTTTCGAAAACATCCTTTTGGATTGAATTAAAACTTTCAGATTTAATTTAACACTTTCAAATTTTCAGATATTTTTCGGATTGTTTTCAGATTTTTTTAAGTATATTAAATTAAAACTTTCAGATTTCAAAATCTGAAATTGAAAAAGGTCAGAGAGGCGCATATCAAAATTAAATTATACATAGCAGTGATGGTTTTCACTGAGAGAGGCACAGATATGAGAGATTNCCGAAACTAAAACCACCGAAACCCACCAGCGTGTCTCCGTGTACCTGTATACCTTCAAAACCCATCAAACTCGCTTCTGTAAGGTGTTGGAAAGACTTCCAGAAAGCAAATTCTCACTCAAATCTTATCTTCATATCGCATTCATTGTACGCAAATTTTTTTCTTCCAAATCCAACACCCTTAATTTGCAATCCTCTACTTAAAAGCAAGGGTATAATTTTATCACATAACACCGAAATTGCATAACCTTCAGGCATAATTTTATCCCAATCTGCACCATATTTACAGTGTAGAACTAGAGTTCTTTCAGGTATTACTTCAAACACCTTGAAAGCCAAAAAGATACATATCTACAAAAGTGTTTTCTCTACCCAAAATCCAAAGAACCATGATACCAAGTGTGACAAATTAAAAAAACCCAATAACAATATGACCTGGGTATTCTCAAAAGAAATTCAAAAAGGGGAAGAATGAGGGAGACCCACCTTTTTGAGGCCTTTATCAATTGCAGGACCGGTAGATGATGTTGTCGTGCTCGAAACCAGAGATCTGGAGTGAAATGAAGATGGAGTGACCTTGGAGATGGAGTAATAGCTTCGCAGCGATTGGCTTCGGCTTCGGCTTCGAGAGAGAAAGAGAGACGACTGGGCATCGAGAGACAGAGAGAGATCACAGACAGAGAGAGGGTGAAACCCGAAAGGAGATGGCCTTTTATACCCCCATCAAAAAAATATATTTTTTGCCGCAATAGAGGATCGAAGTCAAGACCTCATCAAGCTTCGCGCGCGTGTTTTTTTTTTTTTGGATGTTTTCGAAAACATCCTTTTGGATTGAATTAAAACTTTCAGATTTAATTTAACACTTTCAAATTTTCAGATATTTTTCGGATTGTTTTCAGATTTTTTTAAGTATATTAAATTAAAACTTTCAGATTTCAAAATCTGAAATTGAAAAAGGTCAGAGAGGCGCATATCAAAATTAAATTATACATAGCAGTGATGGTTTTCACTGAGAGAGGCACAGATATGAGAGATTGATGAAGGTCTTCGCTAAGAAAGGCACAAATCTGAGAGATCGATGAAGGTCTTCGCTGAGAGAAGCACAAATTGATGAAGGTCGTCTGAGTGAGAGAGGTGCAGATCGATGAAGGTCTGAGTGAGAGAGGAAATGGAAGAGGCTGAGAGACGGAGTGAGAAGGGGAGGCTAACAGCATCTTTAAACGAAGCTATTTAAAATAATTATTCAAAATATATTTAAATATTATATTATTTACTTTAGTCAACAATTTTTTTAAATTCACTCAAACAATGCTATCTATTTTAACTAACCACTTCAACTAACTTTAACTAAATTTTAATAATAAAATTAAAAAAATAGCAATTCAATTATATATTATACAAATTTAATCAATTATAGACTACAAGAGAGAACCTACCTCCCAAAAATTATTACTCTTAAAACAAATTCTCTCAAATTAAATTNACAAATTTAATCAATTATAGACTACAAGAGAGAACCTACCTCCCAAAAATTATTACTCTTAAACCAAATTCTCTCAAATTAAATTATAAAATTCAAAACAAAATCACCTCAAATTACACAAATAACCGAAGTCAAGATTTTTGAGGGGTTTTGTTGAATTTTTTTGAGGTATTACTGAATTTTTAGAGGGAGTTTATTAGATTTTTGGGAGGTTTTGTTGAATTTTT